TAAAAATAGAATTGTGTGAATATGTATTCCTAGGATTGTGGAAAAGTATAATCCCTTAAATATGGGGATTAAAATAGTTAGTCCCTTAATTATAGGAATTGATTTAGGAAGATGTTTTCTATTTATTGCAGCAGCTTACTGTATAAATATGCCGATTGGCAATGGAATGAAAGTAGATCAGTTTTTTACCATTGCAAAACACTTCCCATACTCACCATAGTGTTGCAGCTCTAAGACACCTACATAGGATTTCTCTCTTCCTTAATGGGGAGAAGAATGAGGCATCAAACTAATGTTTTAGATCATTGGGAGGTAACCTCCTGCACCCAAACAATGAGAAGTACTCCAAAATAGCAGGCATAAAGGTAGATGAAAATAATTCTCACCATTAGCTGTACACATAGGACAAACATGAGGAGAAAAGCACCAAGAAAGCCTTTTACTTTGCAAAGTTTTAGTGGTATTGATTTTGTCATGATAAATCTCTCAACAGAAAGCTCTAATCCTAGGTGGTGCCAGACCTCCCCAATTGGCCTTGAAAAGGAAGCTAGGACTAAGGGATGAAAGGAAGTGCAAGAGAGAACCTGAGGAGCCGAGGATCCAGATTCTCGCATCATGCTTATGTGGGTTCAAGAAGACACTTTCTAAGGATTCAAGGAGATCCATGACATTCAGAGTTCCACTATCTTTAACACCCCATCTCAAGCCCAGGTCCCAAGATAAATCAAGGACATTAACTAATTATAATATCTTCACAAGTCAGACATACAGCCCTGGGCACAAGTGCACAGTCTTCCAATGCCTCACCGTTCATCTCTGTGAAATAGAAAGTTGAAGAAATCCCAACCAAAGGTTTTGTATAACCTGCAAAATGTGTTGTTGAAATGTGATAACATTTCTCCAGACACAATCTGATATCCTAGAATCCCACTCAAATGGGTGGCCTCGTACTTACAAAACTAAAGAGGAGAAGGGGAACACCGGTTTTAGTTAGAGAATATAGCCAATCATAATTTATGAAACTCCTGTTATCATTCAAAAAGTAAAAAAAAAGGAAGATTGCAATAATATCCCCATATAGATAATTAAAAATATAGCATACAACAGAAAAGTACAAGTATGGACTTTCACCCAACATATATATTTCTCAACATTCACTATTTCTCAAGATTGTGTTCCAAGGAGTCTCCGTAATAGTAAAAGTAGTACTGCCGAGTTGCATGAAATTTGTATAAAACTTCAAAAAGAAATCTGTAAGAAAATTTCAAGATTTTCTTCCATGTAATGGTTCTACATGTACACCTTTTATACTTATAATAATTTAATGGAAATTTATTGTAGTTAATTAAGAGAAACTTACATTTGGTAGGTTCTTATATTTCATTATCATCATGTACTAAAAATTCCTTCCAAGTTTGATGTTTTTTGGAACTAGATTAGTTTGGGAATTTTCTATTTCTTGTCATTTTATTGCTAATTTTCAGGTGAATATATTTATGTTACTCATTGTTGTCAGTTAGGAGGCGTTTTTATATATAATGTTCTATTCTGTTTGTAACGAGGGCATACTTGTCCTTTTACCTTATGTTTGATACCGTCATATATTAAGACAAAGTGGAAGCTGCCAGACCACTTTGATTGCCTCAATTCATTTCTCTTTTCTCTGCCGTTTTCTTCTCTGTCTTCCAGATCATACTAGACATGTATTTGCTACTTACTGTCACCATTCTTATTTTCAGGCTGTGGGAATAATTGCTGCTATAGGGGATTCAGTCTCTGACTTGAAAATAGGCAGTCCAGTTGCACTTATGACCTATGGAAGCTATGCCGAATTCATGGTGGTATACTTTCTTTCAGAGTTTGTTTAGCAATGCTAGTCCTGCTTTTAAGAGTAGAAAAGCCCAACCTACTTTGACTGAGATATCTTAATGTAGGGTGATTTGTTAATGTAAATGAGGTTTGAAAATGCACAACCTTATGTAACTTAGGCTCAGTTTAGAAGGAGTAGAAATAAAAATTTGTAGTGTACAAAATCTTGTACTTCGTATTATTTTGTATGTATTTGTACTGTACATATTTGTATTTGTACTCTTTCCAAACTGAGCCTTACCAAAATACTTCCATATGCACACTTTCCCTGTATTAGAACATTTATCAGGGTTTCATTTTACACTCACAGATGTACTAGAAACTATTACAAATTTCAGTATCCTTGATACTGCAATTTCAGGTTCCTTCAAAACACATTCTTGCTGTGGCACGACCAGATCCAGAGGTTGTGGCTATGCTTACTTCAGGACTTACAGCATCAATTGCATTAGAAAAGGTTTGCTGCTTCAAAATTTTATGCAGATATTGCTTTACTTGGTACTTATAAATTCTAGAAGTTTTCTTGGTACATATGTTTATGATGTGCACTTATAACAGTTAGTATGTGATATAGGACTTAAAAGTGTAGGAACACAAATGTTTTGTGCTTCTCTATGACAATGTTATTTCTTCATTTTGAAAGTTATTGGATGAAACTTCTCCGTATATTGATTCATTCCCTTCATTTTTTTTTTCTGAGAAAGGTAAAGATATTTTATTAAGGAAACAAAGGAATTAAGCCACAAGGCTTGTACAGTGAGGCAAGAAAACAGAATGGAGCCACCCTTCAGTACACTGAACAGTCTCTAGAAAAGATACAATTATAAATAGTTTTGTGACAGAGAGCCAAGCAAAGACAAGACTAGCAGTTCTAATAACGTTATCCTCCTGGGTTGCGTATCTGTTGAAGATTCAAAAATTTCTTTCCATCCAGATGGGCTATGTTTGCTCACACTGCCCTGCCTTTGCTGTTTATTCCACCAATTTACCAACCATCCACAGATTCCCTAACAGAACTAGGGAATACCTAGCTCACATTCATCATTGTCATTATCCAAGCCTTACATGCTACATGAATCCTGTTTCATCATTCTGTTCTGATTAATGCCATATCCATTTTTAAATTATGAGTGCTTAAATTATTTATTACAACTTCAACCCATGTCCTTTTTGGTCTATCCCTAGCCCTTCTAGCCCCTTCAACTTGCAACAGACCGCCTCTTCTTATGGGTGCTGTCAATGGTCTTCTATCCATGTGGCAAAACCATCTTAGCCTACATTTCTCATTTTATCACCTATTTGATCTACTCATAGGTTCCTTCAAATGACTTCATTTCTGACCCTATCTTTCCTAGTTTTTCCACTAATCCGTCTCCACATATGCATTTTTATCACACATTCTTACAAACCATAAAAGCAAATTTTGAAGGGACAATGAGTTCCACACCATCTCAAAATGGAAGGGGTTGTTCCTTGAGATAATTTGTTTTTTCCTCATTGAAACGTAGGAACAAGAATATTTTTTGTTTCTCTCTAACCATGCTATTACTTTGTTTTGAAAGTTGTCATCAAATGAAACTTGATTCACTTTCCCCAAAAAAATGCATCACTTATCACTTCTTTC